ACAGTTAAGATTTCTCTTTAGTTTTTGTATCTACATAAACTTTCTGTAACTTGAAATACAGTACTAACTTTTCATAATTGAAAAGTATGGGGATAAACAAATGAAATACATTCAGCAGTAACCATGGATATGTAAAATCAAAACAATTGCTATTATCATACTGCATATTTATACTGAATTCATTCCTTATTTTAATTTTCAAACCCAGTGATAATTGATGTTTATATTTCTGCCCTATTTTATTTTATTTTATTTTTTTGAGACAGAGTTTCTCTCTTGCCCAGGCTGGAGTGCAGTGTCACAGTCTTGGTTGGATGCAACCTCTGCCTCCCAGGTTTAAGCAATTCTTGTGCCTCCCCCTCTGGAGTGGCTGGGATTACAGGCACGTGCTACCACACCTGACTACTTTTTGTATTTTAGTGGAGACAGGGTTTCACCATGTTGACCAGGCTGGTCTCAAAATCCTGACCTCAGGTGATCCACCCATCTCCACCTCCCAAAATGTTGGAATTACAGGCATGAGCCACTGTACCTGGCCATTGTGCCCTATTTTAAAGCCCTTATGCATGCATATTGCATTATAGAAAGTGAAAAAAAATTTTTTGAGATAGAGTCTTACCCTATTGTCCAGGCTGAAGTGAGTGGCACGATCTCAGTTCACTGCAACCTGTAACTCCTGGATTCATGTGATTCTCCTGCCTCAGCCTCCTGAGGAGCTGGGATTACAGGTGCACGTCACCACATCTGGCTAATTTTTGTATTTTTAGTAATAGAGATGGGACTTCACCATGTTGGCCAGGCTGGTCTTAAACTCCTGACTTCAAGTGATTCACCCACTTAGGCCTACCAGAGTGCTGGGATAACTGGCATGCGCTATTGTGCCTGGCCTAGAAAGCGAAAGAATCTTGAAATAAGATTTCCCTCTCCTGTGAGATACTGAGACTAGCACTAATTTCTTCTACCATTCATTGAAAAAAAGCTGCAATATGTTTCATAATAATGTAGAATTTAAAAAATGCCCAGGACATTTGAGCTATGTATAAATAGCATAACACAGATATCATTAGGATACTATAGTTTATGTTTATAAAGAGACCTATCTAGTTCTCTTGAATTCCGTGAAAATAAGCAGAGAGACTTAGCTGGCTACAGAACATGAGCTTAGACTGACGGGAAATTTTAGTGCAAGGTATCAAATCATGAAAGGTACAGTGAAAGCTGATGAAGCCCTTATTTTACATCACTTAGAGAAATGATTTCTGTTTTCTTGAACACCTCATCTTCTTACTGCCTCCCTGTAATCTTGGCTATGAAATAGACATGTATGTTATGTTTTTGCTTTTTATTAGTGAAGGGTTTCTTTTTCCTCTCTTTCTTGACACTAGAGACAATTTGATGACAAGCTGAAAACAGCCCATTGATGGATAAAATATTTGGACTGAAAATAAACAGGAGTAACAGCTCTGGTTCTAACCTGCCTAGATTTTTGTTACAGGACAAATTATTCAACCCTTCTGGTTTGTCATCTGTATTAAGGAGAGAAGTTGATGGAATTATTTTTAAAGTTTTACCCCTCACTGTATAACGCTACAGTTTCAATACAGCTTTAGCTCTGATAACTAAGAAACAAAATGGTAATCATAATAATCTATTAGATATTTGGTGACGCCACATTCATAAAGCAAAAATGTCACTTCAGTTCCTTTGGTAGTCCAATTACCCATTTTGCTGTGGAATGAAATGCCTACTCTTAATTATTCCTTTCACTTGAAGGAGAATGTAGAATTTAAAAAATGCCCAGGACGTTTGAGCTATGTATAAATAGCATAACACAGATATCATTAGGATACTATAATTTATGTTTATAAAGAGACCTATCCAGTTCTCTTGAATTTCATGAAAATAAGCAGAGAGACTTAGCTAGCTACAGCACATGAATTTTGACTGATGGGAAATTTTAGTGCAAGGTATCAAATCATGAAATGTGTGACTTTCCATAACTGTGACAGTCCATAACTGTGTCACAGTCCGTAACTGTGACACACTTGGCATCTCTCTACCTTTTTTGCTCTTCTTTTTTTGGGGGGGCGGAATATGTAGTGACCTGTCTAACTGGTGAGTGTAGAGGACAAATTGGATAGAAGGGCCAGCCCTTTCCTCTCAGTTCCTCTTGAGACCTGTTGACCTGCAGATAAAATGTGTCCTCTTGAGTCCTCCTGGGAGCTGGGGACTTGTAGAAAAGGTGTGTCTGCTTTGATTCCTCCAGGCTGTAGGTTTACAGGGTCAGGGCCCTCCCTGGGGAGGTCTGTGGCCAACCATAGGCAAGCTTTCTAGTTCTGGGGTTTAATGTTAGGAAACCCAGTTGGCTCTTAAATCTAAGCCACATTCTGCAATATCAGCTTTCTCAGTTGTAAACATGATATTTTGATTTCCATGCATCTTATTTTTTGGGCCTATTTCCCAGGTGGTTCAGAATGTGGATGTGATGCTATTTTGGGAGTTCCCTGAAGCCCCAACGAACAGCACTACATTGTGTGAATAAATGACTTTGGCCATGAACTTTCTGCTTAGATTTACGCAGGTCTTCTCTCAATTTCGATTGTCTCTGGTAAAAAACTTGACAACATCACTGCAAACTCTGGTGTTCAGGATGCTAGAGATCGTTATCTTAGCCAACAGTAACATGGCAGCATGTCACTCATGGTTTTACAAAGGAAGCCAGACATTTAAACAATCACTGTGAGCCATAAAACATGGCATCCAATTTGTTACAGAGCTCAATCAAGATGGGAAGGAAGAGGTGCTTATTTTATCAATCTGAACACTGGCTGAAAGTAGAAGAACCAATCCACTTTATAATAATTTGTTTTCTCTCTTGAATCCAGAAAGAAGAAGGGTTGAGGACACAGAAGGTACATAGTTTAATAAATATGCAAGGGCTGAGTATGGTACCCAGACTTCTCTAGGTGCTGTGGGACACAGCAGTGGACCAAGAAGACAAAAATCTGTATCCTCAAGAAGCTTATATTTTAGTGGAAGGAGATAGGCATTAATCAAAACAAATAAGTAAATAAATAAACAAGTAAGTAAATATGCTAATGCAGTGTAGTGACACCGTGTTGGAGCCAGACAGCTTGGGGTCAAAGCCTGGTTCCATCACTTACAAGCTGTATGACCTTTGAGGGAGTTCTTAACTTCTCTGTGCCTTGGTTTCCTCATCAGTAAAATTGGTTTAATGAAAACTTTTGAGGTTTGTCATGAGGATTACGTTTAATTAGTGTTAAACACTTAGACCTGTGCCCAGCACACTTTAAGCACTACATAAGTACTTGCTGTTATTATATTAAATGGTACATGCAGAAGAAAGGGATAAAGCAGTGTTGGATGGGTTTGTAGTTTTAAATGGGTTGTTAAAAAAAAAAATCCAAAACAAGATCTTGATGAAAAGCTGGCTTTTAAGTAAAGACCTGAAGGAGCTGAGGGAGTCAGCCACTCAGATATTTGGTGGAAATCATGACGGCAGAAGGAATGGCAAGTGCAAAGGCCTTGAGGTTGGCAGATGCCTTAGTTCTAGGACTGGCAGGTGTGGAGTGTGGCTGCGGGGGAGAATAGAGAGTGATGGTAGATTGGGACTCCTTAGAAGTAGAACCTAAGACAGGAAATCAAATGTCATTGATTTCCTGAGGATGTGCTCTCAGGAAAAAGCAAGGGAAGAAAGGAGGAGAGAGCAGAAGAGCTAAGTAGGGATGTGGCCCTGGCAGGTACAGCCTGGCCCCACAGGGAGCGCTGGAGCATGAACTGCACCACAGTGAGCTCCCCCTTGAGACAAGTGGCTTGGCTTCTTGTTTCTTCATATCAGCCAGTCACTGGCAGGGGGCTGTTGGGGAGATGGCTCCCATTGGCCAAGGGCAGTTCTCATGAGCAGGGGCAGTTGTGAGTCACTGCAGCAGCTGGAGGTGGCCTGGGGAAGGGGATCGGGCAGTTCGCAGCAGTGCCCATTACAGGAGCGTCACAGAAGATGAAGCTGCTTCTTCTAGGGACTTGTAGACATTTCAGGTCGTAGTTCCAGAAGATTCGAATCTGAATTTAATGAGTCCATCTACATTCCAGGAACAGAATCTTAGCCATGATGAGGGCTGGAGGCTTTTCAGTCTGTACTTGTGCTTCTGAAAAATGTTAAAAACTACACAATGGGAGCATGTTGGTCCCTCTATAGCTTGCTAGCACCTGACTTTTTTTTTTTTTTTTTTTTTCCAGACAGGGTCTCATTCCGTTGCTCAGGCTGGAGGGCAGTGGTGCCATCCATTGCAACTTTTACCTGCCAGCAAACTCTGCCTCCCAGATTCAAGTGATTCTCCTGTCTCAGTATCCCAAGTAGCTGGGATTAAGGTGCAGGCCACCACACCTGGCTAAATTTTATATTTTTAGTAGAGACAGCATTTTACCATGTTGGGAAGGCTGGTCTTGAGCTCCTGACCTCAGGTGATCCACCTGCCTCGGCCTCCCAAAGTGCTGAGATTACAGGCGTGAGCCATCATGCCTGGCCGAGAAATCCTGTTTTCAAGGGCAGTATATAGCCAGAAAGTTATGTATAAACACAGATTGGATATGGCAATTTCTCTTCACAAAGGTCACATGTGCAGGTAAATAAATTAGCAGCATGTATCTAGAGTTATAACCAAACTGTTTTTAAGATGCAGAAGTGTAAAATCACATATTGAAAATATGATGAAAATATGAAGAGCTGGTCTATACATGTCAAAAATCATATGTTGCTTATAAAAGAGATGAATGACAGCTGCAGGATTCAAGAACAATATGATCTCAAGAAATTAACACTGATCAAAGAGAATGAGAATATTTTTACATTTCACTGAAAATACATTGACTACTAGAATGTAAAAATCTAGCAGGAACTCAGGGAGAAAATTACAAAATCTAAAACCAATTACCTAATATTTCTCATTACCTAAACAACAGCATGATTTTAAAAGGAAGCTGAAAATATGGAACACGTCATGAATTTGTGCATCATCCTGTGTGGGGGCCATGCTGATGTTCTCTGTATCATCCCAATTTTGTTACATCGGCTGCCGAAGCGCGCCTTGTGTGAAATTTGAGATCAGGAATGAAGCAGCAGCCTTTGCACTTTGAAGGCCATCATTGGTAGGGGTGGTTAACAGTGTCTGTGGGGGCGGGGTGCAGTGGTTCACGCCTGTAATCTCAGCACTTTGGGAGACCATGGCACCCCCAATCCCAGCTACTGCAGAGGCTGAGGCACGAGAATCGCTTCAGGGAGGCGGAGATTGCAGTGAGCTGAGATCACGCCATTGCCCTCCAGCCTGGGTGACAAGAGGGAAACTCCGTCTCAAAACAACAATAACACCACCAACAACAAACAAAATATAGTGCCCGTGGGTGCCGTCTTGTCCTCACTTTTTCCCACTCAGTGTCCAGCTCTTCTTCCTGACTGCTGGCCCTACTGGCCAGCTATGAATCAGGCCCACCATAAGATGCTCTGCTGTGAGCTCACGGAGGTGGAAGCCACAAAGAGCTGGAAGTCCTCCACAGACTCCTGTGCCAGCGCCTTCATGGTTGCCCTCCAGCAGTCAGTGCCCCTCACATCCAGCAAGCTTCGACTTGGTCACTTTTTCCAGGCTTGATTAGTGACTTTTCTTTGGTGCTTTTCAGACCTTTCACCCTCAGCTTTTTCCCAGATTGTGGAAAGTCTAACTCCATAATAAATAACGTGCCCCACAGTGCTCATAATGGTCTTGCTTCCCTGATTGAACTCTATGGTACAGGAGGGAACTATAATTGCCTTCATCTTACTACGTTTCCAGGAACACTTTATCATTTCTTACAGGTTGCCACAGCAGACATCTTCTTGGCTGGCTGGCCTTGAATAGAATCAATATATATCAATATAATCAATGTAGCCCTAAATATAATGTATTAGTCAATTCTCACAGTGCTATAAAGAAATATCTGAGACTAGGTAATTTATAAAGAATAAAGGTTTAATTGGCTCATGGTTCTGCATGGCTTGGGATGCCTCAGGAAAATTACAATCACGGTGGAAGGCGAAGGGGAAGCCAACACATCCTCATGGCTGGAGCAGGAGGAAAAGAGTGAGGTGGAAAGGGCTACATGCTTTTAAACAACCGGAAATTGGGAGAACTCACGATCACAAGAACAGCAGGGGAAGCAGCCCCCATGATCCAATCACCTCCCACTAGCCCTTCCAACATTGGGGATTACAATTACACATGAGATTTGGGTGGCGACACAAATCCAAACCATATTAATAATATCCTTGAATTTCTGGTAGAGAGGGCATGAAGCACTCTTTTCAGAAGAACCTTAATCTATCTATCTGAATATCCTTTTCAGTGAGACATACAGCTAGACATACAATGGGAGGCAAACCATGACCTTATAAATATCTTTCTTTTTTATGTTTTTTTTTTTTGTTGTTAGAGGTTTGAAATAATAGTTCCTCTTTCTTTTTTTTTTTTAGAAGAAGAAAGAGAGAAAGAAAGAGAAAGAATAAAAAAAAAAAAGAAAAAAAAAAAGAAGGAGAGGAAGAAAGAGGAAGAGGAAGAGGGAGAGAGAACAGGGGTGTTGCTTTATTGCCCGGGCTAGAATGCAGTCTAAAAATGGGTATGCCTGTAATTGTGTTTAATAATAGAGACATGAAAAAAGAAAAATGAGGGAAGAAAATAACTAACAAGCAGCCAACCAATATTTCATTTAAACCTGTAAATAGGTGTGATATGGTACTGATAAGAGTGTATATTTTGTGTATTTAAAGTGGAGAGTTCTATAAATATTAATTAAGTCTACTTGTTCTGGATCTGAGTTCAAGTCCTGGATATCGATGTTAACTTTCTGTCTCATTGATCTGTCTAATGTTGATGCTGAAGTCTCCCACTATTATTGTGTGGGAGTCTAAGTCTCTTTGTAAGTCTTATATATCTGGGTATTTCTGTATTGGGTGCGTATATATTTAGGATCTTTAGCTCTTCTTGTTACATTGATCCTTTTATCATTATGTAATATCCTTCTTTGCTTCTTTTGATCTTTGTTGCTTTAAAGTCTATTTTATCAGCAAAAATTGCAACTCCTGCTTTTTATTTATTTATTTTTGCCCTCCATTTGGTTGGTAAATTTTTCTCCATCCCTTTTTTTTGAGTCTTTGTGTATCCTTGCATGTGAGATGGGTCTGGATGTAGCATACCAATGGGTCTTGGCTTTTTTTGCCTGTCTGTGTCTTTGGATTGGGGGATTTAGTCAATTTAAATTTAGAATTAATAATAATATATGTGAGTTTGATATTGCCATTTAATGTTGGCTGGCTGTTTTGCCCATTAGTTGATGCAAGTTCTTAATTATGTAGATGTTCTTTATTTTTTAGTATTTTTTAGAAAGGCTGATACTGGTTTTTCCTTTCTATTTGTAGTGGTTCTTTCAGAAGCTCTTGTAAAGCAGGCCTGGTGGTGATGAAATCTCTGAGTGCTTGCTTGTTCACAAAAGATTTTATTTTTCCTTCGCTTATGAAGCTTAGTTTGGCTGGATGTAAAATTCTGGGTTGAAAGTTCTTTTCTTTAAGGATGTTGAATATTGGCCCCCATTCTATTCTGGCTTGTAGGGTTTCTGCTGAGAGATCTGCTGTGAGTCTGATGGGCTTCCCTTTATGGGTAACCTGACCTTTCTCTCTGGCTGCCCTCAATATTTTCTCTTTCATTTCAACCCTGATGAATCTGGCGATTATGTGCCTTGAGGTTGGTCTTCTTGAGGAATATCTTTGTGGCGTTCTCTGAATTACGTGGAGTTGAATATTGTCCTGCCTTGCTAGGTTGGGAAAGTTTTTTTGAATAATATCCTGAAGCATATTTTCCAGCTTGGATTGATTCTCTTCGTCTCATTCAGGTACACCTATCAAACGTAGATTAGGTCTTTTCACATAGTCCCATATTTCTTGGAGACGTTGCTCATTCCTTTTTATCCTTTTTTCTCTAATCTTGTCTTCTCGTTTTATTTCATTAAGTTGATCTTCGACCTCTGATATCTTTTCTTCTGCTTGATCAATTTGGCTGTTAAAACTTGTGCATACTTCGCAAACTTCTCGTGTTGTGTTTTTCAGCTCCATTAATTCACTTATATTCCTCTCTAAATTGTGTATTATTGTTAACATTTCGTCAAACCTTTTTTCAAAGTTCTTAGTTTCTTTGGGTTAGAACAAGTTCTTTTAATTCCCAGAAGTTTCTTATCATCCACTTTTTAAAGCCTGCTTCTGTTAATGGAACACAGTCTTTCTCCATCAGGCCTTGTTCCATTGCTGATGAGGAACTCTGATCCCCTGTAGAGGGAGAGGCACTCTGATTTTGGGTATTCTCAGCCTTTTGAGGCTGGTTGCTTCCCTTCTTTATAGATTTATCCATCTGTGGTCTTTATAATTACCGTCTTTTAGTTGGGTTTCTGAATGGACGTCCAACTTGTTGATTCCTGGTGCTAAAATCTGAGCAACCCACTGCGCCGGCCAAAACAGCAGCATTAAGATTGATGGTGCTTTTCTGACTCTGCACCAAGAACCGCCGCACCAAGGCAGCGGCAAAACTGCCTCGCCGGCCACTGGCGACCTGTGGGGCTCCTCCGCTGGGAATCTCCGGGTGCCTGAGCGACAAAAATTGATCTGAGAGTGTGGTGTCCTCTCGTTCTCCGCGTTTTCAGTGGGAGCTACAATCCCGAGCTGCTAGTGATCAGCCATCTTGGATCTCCATTCGACCTTATAAATATCTTTCTATAGGTAATACACTAGTCTGGCTCAAAAATCAGAGCTAGGCCAGGCGCAGGGGCTCACGCCTGCAATCCCAGTACTTTGGGGGGCTGAGGCAGGTGGATCACTTGAGCTCAGGAGTTCAAGACCAGCCTGGGCAACATGGTGAAACCCTGTCTCTACTAAAAATACAAAAATTAGCCAGATATGGTAGAGTGCACCTGTAATCCTAGCTTCCCAGCTACTCATAAAGTTGAGGTTGCTTGAACCCAGGAAGCCGAGCTTGTAGCGAGCAGAGATTGTACCACTGCACTCCAGCCTAGGTGACAGAGCGAGACCCTGTCTGGAAAAAAAAAAAAAAAATCAGACCTATATACAAAGTATGCATTGGGAAGTCTGGTCCCCATCCCTATTTTTGTCCACCACCCTTCCGCCACACCTAAAGATAACCATTTCTAGTAGTTTCTTGTATTCTTTCAATGCTTTCTTATAAATAAATATCTTTTCTTTATAATTATCTTGCAGGAAACTAAAAATCCTCCCGCATCTCCAGGGCTGGACCTGTTACCTCCTGGCTTCTCCCTGTTCTTGGCCTGCATCTTTCCCCCTCATCACATAGCATAGCATGCTGAAGGGAGGCCAGCAGGACTTAATTCAGTCATGAAATTTCTAAGTTTACTCATTCATAACCTCATGGTGTAATGGAAAGTGTGTCGGCCTGAGACTCAGACTGTCTAGTTTCTGGTCCTAATTGCCGAAAGTCCTCTGTGGGATTAGGGGAAAGACATCTAGGCTTTCTGGCTTCAGCTTCTTTGTAATTTGTTTTGTAATAGCAACACTGTTAGAATAGATTACAGGTCTTTTGCCACATACCTAAATTGATTGCCCTTGTAAAGCGTTTTTAGAAACTTTCATTTCAGATACTTATTTTTTTCTTTTTTCTTATTTTATTTTTTGAAACAGGGTCTTGTTCTGTTTCCCAGGCTGGAGTGTAGTGGCACAATCACAGCTCACTGCAGCCTTGACCTCCCAGACTGAAGTGACTGAAGTGATCCTCCCACTTCAGCCTCCTGAGAAGCTGGGACTACAGGCATGTGCCACCATGCCCAGCTAATTTTTGTATTTTTTTTGTAGAGATGGAGTTTCTACATGAAACCCCATCAACATGAAAACCATGTTGTCCAGGCTGGGCCTAAATTTCTGTACTAAAGCGATCCACCTGCCTCGGCCTCCTAAATGAATGGGATTACAGGTGTGAGCCACTCCACCTGGATTTAGTTACTTATATTAGAGTTCTACAGTATATGGCACATGCTTCCCAGAAGCA